TGGCAACCTTTTTTTTTTTTTTGGGGGGGGGGGCAACCATTTGAGGTGTGCTCCTCTTCTTTTCTGTATCAGCTCAATTTCTAACACTTGTCCTCTCTCTTTACTGGGCTGACCTATTCACGGTCTGACATCATAAATGCAGGTCCATGCACTGAAGCTGGGGATGATGATTACCCCCCATGCACCAAGCCAAAGGACAATTTTTTTCTTTGGGCAACCTGCGCCCGAGTCACCAAAAAGAGTTATAATTGCACTACTTGCCAAGATACAGTTTGGAATTGCAGTTCGGGCAATGTATACAACCCAGCTTTCTGGCCAGGGGAGGGTGCCCCAAGTGCAATTGCAAACCATATTTTGCCCCATAGGGCAATTATAACCAGTTTTTGTGACTCTACTGAAGTTTTACTTGCCCCTTTTTCTTTTCTTGTGTTGTCTTCTAAGGTGAGGTCCCACCAGCAAAGACGATTGTATAAATATCCTGAATCTGGATATGTTTTAGCCGGAGATGCTGAAAAGCAGTTTAATCTCGATTTTTCTGCACTTTTCCACAAACGAGTCCAGATTCAGGCCCTCCATCCAATCCTGTTTGCTAGTGGGACCTCGCCCCTGGGAGATCGTACAGAGGAGCCGGCAGTTGACTTTGTCTTTGATTGGACAGCAGGGTGACTTTTTTTTTTTCGCGTTTTTTGACAGCAGGGTGATATTCACCATCCTGGAATGATGAAGAGCACTGTCCGCTGATTCTCTCCTCCTGTTTCTGACAGATATGTGACTTCCTTCTACCTCAAATAGAAGGCATGGTCATCATCGCTGTATCTGGTCGGACTGGTGCACTCAATACACCTATAATAAGAGTGCCTTCTATTAGAGGGCAGTGGGCAGGAGTTCCAGTGCACATGGCATTTCCTCCAAGGGAAGGCTTGCTCATGTTTGCCAAGCAGGCCGTATGGCCTTCCCTGGTTATTATAGGAGGGTGAAGGTGCGTAGTTTTGCCGGGATTTCAAGGATGGGGGGGGTCCTTTTTGCTATTTGCAGCGTGCCAAGGGTATCGGATATTGGCGGGCAATTTTTCAGGGTACCTTGACTAATGGTTTCCGTTCGGCCAGCCAATGGCCGTCCATTTGTAGCTTTCGTTTTTTTTTTCCCGCCTAAGTATTCACATCGATTCTCAGGCAATATGCATTGAGGAGGTCTTTCATTACCTGGGGGTGCACCTATACCCGAGTACCACCGAACCTTGCAGTACCCGGGTCCAGGGACCTGCGTCGTCAGAGACGGTTGACGGGACGCATTGTTTAGACAGACTTCGGGACAGGCGGRTATGAACTCTGCATCCAGTATATGTACAACYAGTRCGATTTGCTTCGMCTCTCATTGTRYTGAGAACGTGCACGAACGGTTRGCGMGTGTGCTGGGCCGCCGCCTSCGGCTTCCTTGCGATGGCAGCCGCTCTGCTGTAGCTTTGATGCCACGTACAGTTGGGCGTACTAGTCGGGTGTGGCAGACYTGTTCGTTCTGAAGCCGGCAYCGYGAGGCGCGAGGTCATGCGTTTCGATCTCAGGGTGAAGCAAGAACACGGAGTCGACACCAAGGTTCTGCTTGTCTTCCTGTGTGTATTGTCTGTGCGCTCTTTTGTTCTGTGTTGGCTTTTTTGCAGGTGTACTTCTGTCAAGTTAAGCATTGAGATGTACTACCCGCTTCGTCCGCTGACGGTTTTTGGGACATCTATCCCTCGCACAATGGCGAGCTCGGGGTATCAAGCCGTGTATCACTTAGTGTTCCATAAGGGATTCGGGATGTTTCTCCCCGGTGTGGTTGCTTGGCGAGTAGGAGTAGGATGAGTAACGGTGAAATCCACATACAGGCTCCTTCGTCCAAAAACCAACCTTGCTGACCAAGTCAGTGACCGTTGGAGAGCCCACCTGAACATCAGCCAGGCGGAAATAAGACCGGTGAAATGGTTTCGATTGGCTAAGGCGAAACCCGCCAAGATTGCGTCGCTCCAATGGCAGTTAGAGCATCGTTGCCTGCCAACCAACAACTGGCTAATAGACAGAACAACGCTGGAGCAAAGAGGCCTGGCTCTTCCCTGGTGCAAACTATGTACAAATGCCTTTCCGGCCCACAAACGCCCAGAAACAATCGAACACATATTCCTACAGTGCCCGGGGGCACTGTGGATGTGGCGATGGTGGGACAGAATTTGGAGCCAACTAGGTACAGTCTCACCCTGGCCCTGGGACTGGAAGGCGGTGCTCTGCGAGACCTGGCCCAGGAGACTGTCGGAATCCCTGGACAAGTACACCACTAACATGTTCACAATAGGTCGAAGAGCGGTAATCTGGGCACTGTGGAGACGACGCTGCACCTATGAAATGGAAGGGGTGAGACTAGAGGGCCTAGAATTCACAGAAAGCGTGATACAGCAGATCCAAACTGAAATATCAGTCAAATGGGACATGGTTAAAGCAACTATTCAGAATCTGCAATCACCAAAAGACATTAAACACAAAAGACAAGAATTCTGCAAAAGCTGGCTGGGAGGACCCGAAGGAGGAAGAATCGGACAGGTGGAATGGAAAGGGGAGCGAAAGGGGATAGAAGAGGGTCCACAGGGAGCAGTCATCGAGCGAGACTACCACATAATCTTCAACGACTGGGCCACGTTAGATGCAGACATCCCCCTCAGACCCCCCGAAGCCTTTCCCGACCCCTTCCCCCCCCCATCCAATTGCTTGGTAGGGATGCAGTGGTACGGTATGTAGAGGGGCAGGCGAGAAATGGCAAGAGAAAGTACTGTGGAAAGCGGAGTTCGCCCCAACCCACTCTAGTAAAGCACACTGATCTGACAGCCGTTGAGCTGAGAGGAGCGGGACTGAATTCAGGCAGACTCTTTCAAAGCAGGGGTGAGGGATGGTACATCCTTCCGTATGGAAGTAATCAATGCCGCCCGCTCGGGCCTCCCAGCCATAATGGGGAGGAGCGTGAGTGTGTCCTCAATGTATTCCAGAAGACTTGCCGGTGGAATAGGAACCGGACTGTTGCTCCCCAGAATGGCAGGAGCCAGAACCACGAGGTTCTGATCTTCTCAAAAAAAAAAGAAAAAAAGGATGAGTATATATTGAGGCAAGGCATTGGTATGGCCTCAAGTGCTTTCATAGCATTCTTGGATCGTCCTCCTGATGAGTCTATGTGCGGGATAGACGAAACGCGTCGAGGGTTTGGCCGCAGGGAAGAGATGTATGATCCGAATTTCTTTTCTATCTGTATGCGTAACGGAGTTGGTTTGCATCTGGCGTATCTTTCGTACTTCGTTCTCATACTGGGTCTGTCTTGCCGGACAGTCTTGTCTTTTCAGAATAGCGTGAGAACCACCAGTGCGATTATACACGGGGACGGTGGCCACGTCTACGAATTGGTTCTATATGATTAGATTGAGGTTAAGCGGGACATGGAGGATAGTCGCGAGGATTACTGAAGGTATACCTTCGGTTTTGAATCTTCAATAGGTGAGTGATAGTTATACCGGTGCTCCGGTTATGATGATAGGTATTGTGTCGAATGATACTTGTTTTTTCTTTCGTACATTTTTTTAACATATCGGGGTCGTCAAGACCTATCACGTTTAGATCGTGTCCCCGGTACGTTCCAAGCTATGCTCGTTAGATCGTGTTATGGAGCGGGTTTTGCTCAGATATGTGCTACTCATTTCGGAACCGGATGTTTTTATCAGATTGATTGTCACCTTTGATGATGTATTAGGTACGCTTAAGGTAGTAGTACGACAGGATTAGTGGACCTTCCTTCTCACAAATACGCTATCTCTGCTCGTTCCTATCCTTCTTCGACCTTTCTTGAGGATTGATTGAGCCACTTTCTTCTAATTTCCTTGGTTTTGCGTCGTGCTGAGCATCCCTGCGATGGCGTCGAATTCTAAGTGTTTTAATTGCGGAGGGGAAGAGAATTTTGCTAGGGAATGCCCCTGCTACGCAAGCAGGTAATCTTGCCTCGGCACCGGCGGCAACACGTTATTGGACTCCGCGGCGTCAACCAGAAGATAACGAGGAACGAGAATTTCTGCGGCAGTTAATTAACGAGAAAAAGGAGGAGCAGATGCGCAGGAGGGAGCTAGAAGACAAGAAGAAGATGGATGAGTTAATCAGGAGGGAAATCGAAAGGAATTCGGAAGTTCTTGAGGCGCGTGTGATGTCGAAAATCGGACGCCAGTTTCTCGTCGCACGTGAGGAGGCGAGGATGGAAGAGTCGCGGTCTCATATTTTTCGCACTCGCCGCAGTGTGACACGCGATAAAATGGATGAATATGCAGATAAGGGTACTGAGGACATTGAGGATGAAATTGCTAAGTTGTATGAGATTCGTGAGAAGAAGAGGAAGGCAAAAGCGTCAGTTGAAGGGGAGGGAAGAAGACCATTTAGGCAACCAGTGTTCGGGAGGAATGGTTCGGTGGAGGATGGACCAATAGGTGAGTCCTCCAAAATGGAGGAGGAACGTGGTCGAACGAAGATTGCGGCTGGGAGTGGACCAGATGGTTTCCTAGCTTATGTTTTGGCGCAACGACGGCTCCTGACTCCGAAAACCAAGGAGCAACTGAAGGCGATCTGTCGCCAGGAGAACGTGACGTACACTACGAAGGGACCCACGATCAAGAGTATAATTGAGGCCAGAGCAAAGGTTGCTTACGAAGGATTCATTTTCACACCATCCACGTCGTCGACATCGCCGGATGAGGAACGTACGCCGTCAGAGTGATTAGCACAGGCGACTAGGTACCGACTTTGGTCTAATCTGCTAGAGTGCATGTCTCTAAGAGGAAAGGCATGGTTGCAAGGCGCATCTACTAAGCTTCGTTTGTCGTATGACTTGTGTTGTACCATGTGTCTAACTGCATTAGCTTTGTTGGGTGAAATTCTATGGCTTAATAAGTATGTTTCTTTGCTACTTTCAGTGGACTGGGATGATTGGAATTCGGGATCGGTTGTCTATCTGCTCACTTCCCCATGGTGTCGTGCGCAGTACATTGGATGTTCTGTTCGAGGGATCTATGTCCGATGGGCGGAGCATGTAAGGATAGTTAGGTGCCATTGGTTGGGATTAACACCTAAATTGTACAGATGGTTGCGCACGTTTGGTTTCTGGCATTATATTACGGTGCCCTTGGTGAATGGTGTTGCTACGGTCCACGCATCTGAAAAAGTGCTAATTAAGAACTTTTAACCCATCCTTAATTACAAGAAGAAGCTGCGCAGAGGCAGACCTCCGGAGCGCCCATGTCGAGCAAAACGGTTGGGTACCAGTCGTGTAGAGGTAGTATGTGGGATTGTAAAGTTTAGGAGGCAAGGGGAAGCCTGGCAGGATAGTCTCTTGTCCATTTTGCGTAAAGCTTTTTTGGATGGTACTAAAGGCTTCGTGGTAGAAGTGCGGCCGGGTAATCGCTGGGCATATACTTGGTCGGTCGTCAGACATTGTTTTGGATGCACTACGGTTTTTTGTGCTGGCAAAGCTTTTGCGTTGAAGGATCTCAAGGCATATTTACAGCAGGGGGGATTATGACACTTTGGTTCAACAATCCTCACACCGAATGGTAGAGCCATTGGTAAAAGCCATTTGGCTCTGATTTTGCGCCAACCATGGCGACGTCGCCTACTGAAGTTCAAGACCATCAATGTGTTGGTAAGATGGTATCGTTGTGTACGCAGTTTTTCAGGGAAGGGTACACGAGTGGTGCTGCGTGGGGTCCTTGCGAGGGCAATCAAAGGTAAGATTGGAATTGATGTGAGGCGTCGTATTCTGGTGCGCATGGTCTATGATCACCGCTTAAGTGCTTCCAGAGTGCATGATCTTGTATTGAAATTGCTAACAGATTCCTCTTTTCCGCCGTCGGTTCAGGGCCTATTGGCACGCAAGGTTCGTTTTGTTTGGCGGAAGAACACACCACTTTCGGGCCGGCTTTGGAATTTCCATAAGGCCGCCAAGGGTGGGCGGGAGGAGCATTTTCCGTGTGCTTGTCAATTTGAATCATCTTGGGTGAGGTCACGTTTTCATGTTATGACCAGGATTGGGGATATCCCAGATGTTCCACCACTATTTCGGAATTCACGTAATATTATGAGGATTAACTCTACGAAGTCGGTATTGGAGTTAGGCCGGCAACCTCGTTGCGATAGGAAGCTATCTGCGTTCTACCTTCATTTTAGATCGACAGATGTTGTTGCAGTGTTGGGATGATGTTGATGACCCTTTCATGGAGGAGAGTACGATTTTACAGTGGTTGGTTAGGCTGCGACGTTTTGTTTGTGTCCCTATTGATAGGAACACATCTGAGACGTTGGTTGTATGTCCGGTCCTTTATATGCACTATTTGCGGCTGATGTTCAATTGAAACTTGTCATTTGAGCCTGTCCAAACAGACCTGTTTGACGTCGTAGCAGAAATGCGGTTGGAATTCCATCACTCACACCTTGACAAACTTGGCAAGTGGGATAACGGTGGCCGTTTTGGCAGTGCCTATGTGTTGCCTAAACACAAGGATCTATCTCGATGGAGACCGATCTCACCTACGTGTGTCGAACCGAGCAGAGTGGCAAGTGGAAGGGTAGTACGTGCGCTTAATTATCTGCTGTTTTCATTACCTGCTAAAGCGAGTTTCAATCTCAAGTCGGTTTCTGGGTTTATCCCAGGCCTTCGGGACATGGGTATTTGTTTCCATAAGTTGACCGGGTATTGCGACTTGCTTTCAGCGTTATTCGACATTAAGGACATGTTTGTATCCCTACCTCACTCTGACATTCTGAGATTCGTAGATTGGTTAGTCTCCTACTTCGAACAGAAAGGTTGTGTAGGGGTTAAAATTGCCAAAAAGGGCAAGAACTCCTGACTCTCGTATGGTAAGGGGCGTGATGAGTGTTGGCATGTTTCATTGACACATGTTAGGCTGATGGTCTATTTCGACCTGCAACATACTTTCATTTTCTTCGCTGGAGTATTGCTAAGGCAGGTAATACGCGTCCCAATGGGCAAGGCCTCCGGCTGCCCCTTGGCGTGTATATCATGCTCGTTTGCGGAATTCAATTTCTTACAGGCTCTTGGAGCGGACCGAGCCTTGGTTGACGGATTCCACATTGTTGATGATGTTACCATCTTTGTGGCTGTTAGGCGAACCTTGGGGATGACCAAGTCGGAGGGTATTCTGGACATGTTCACACAGTGCTATGGGTCTGACCTTAGATTGGTCCGTACCGATGAGTCTGGGGACTGTTGGACTTTTGCTGAGATTTCCATATTCAAGTATGGTGTTTCCCTAAGGACCTTGGTTATATTAAAAAATGCTCAATCGGTCTGGGAGCTGGCTGACTTGAAATTTGGGTGTTTTCAAGATTACGTCTCCTATTCTAGCAAAAAGGCTAAAATCGGTGCTATCTTGAGCACATTGCACCGGGTTTTTCAGTTAACCACGAACCGATGGGGCCAGCATGAGTCGCTCTTGATTATCAAACGGGAGCTGATTCGGCGTGGGTACCCTCTTCATCTGATTGTCTCTACTTTCCGCCGTTTTGGTAACAGGAAGGGTAAGGCGGTGTCGGAGGTTGTTTCAACAGTCTGCTGAGTTGGTTGGCCGGGGCTGGTGCCGTTTTGGCATGAGGCTCGATCCCGGTTTTAGTGGGTGTACTTTATTGAACTTAGGAATAATTGGGGCCTGTTTAGTGGGTATACTTTATTAAGCTTAGGAATATTTGGGGTTTGGCAGGTTTGCCAAGCAGGCCGTATAGCCTTCCCTGGTTATTATAGGAGAGTGAAGGTGCGTAGTTTTGTCGGGATTTCAAGGATCGGGGGGGGTCCTTTTTGCTATTTGCAGTGTGCCAAGGGTATCGGATATTGGCGGGCAATTTTTCAGGGTACCATGACTAATGGTTTCCATTGGGCCAGCCAATGGTCGTCCATTTGTAGCTTTCGGGGTTTTTTTCCCGCCTAAGTATTCACATCGATTCTCAGGCAATATGCATTGAGGAGGTCTTTCATTACCTGGAGGGTGCACCTATACCCGAGTACCACCGAACCTTGCAGTACCCGGGTCCAGGGACCTGCGTCGTCAGAGACGGTTGACGGGACGCATTGTTTAGAC